TATAGACAACCACAAATTACACCCAAACACACGAAAGAAATAAATGTAGGCCATACAAATATTACACCCGGCCCGAAAATCGAACCTGGGACATCTGCGTGGCAGTCCGGCATGGTAACCGTTCGGACACGGAGGCAGTTTGAAACATATTTGTGTGGAACTAGACTAATGTTGTCTTTCCATACATCTTCATCTAACACGTAATCTTAAATTTTTAATTTAATTTTACCTATCGAGTTCTTAGGTTTTCGCGATTGTTACACATAGGAAATGAAACTATATTTCCGGATTTAAATCGCGTATATTTGTTTTTTCAAACAAACCGACGTTTCGGGCCCTTTACAGGCCCTTAACCGTGACGACGGGACCTGTAAAGGGCCCGACACCGCGGTTTGTTTGAAAAAACAAATATACGCGATTTAAATCCGGAAAAATAGTTTCATTAATTTTACCTGTTAATATTTTCAGAATTATTTTTTCATACTTCGAATGACTGAATTACACGACAACCATGTATCGATATATAATACACACAGCGCCATCTATCAGGCGCAGACGGTACTGACTCACCCGAAGGCACGCGATGGTAGGCGATGAGGCCGAGCAAGGCCGCCTCCTGGCAGAGGGGCAGCAGGCCGCGCTTGGTGGCGGACACGGCCAGCGCCGCGGCCGAGCGCACGTGCAGCACGCAGCGCACGTCGGGCCGTGACGAATGCACGGCCGCGTGCAGGGAGAAGCCTGCAACCAAACATTTTTGCTCAATTAACTGTCATTGCACTCCATCTTCAAACAAGGCTAAAAACACATAGACTTTAATGTTTAAAAAAAAACTTGCAATGTTCTTTTGATAGCGAGAAGCAAGAGTAGATCACTAAAGGTGTTAAGATAAGTAAGTTTATTTATAAAACGCGAGTGGGGGACTTGAAACTTAGGCACGTTGTAAAAAATGAAATCGAGTGTCGAACTGACCAACGCTTACGCTTAAAATAAAAAGCGTGCTTAAGTGCTTATTATAAAAAGCAAACTTTTTAAGCGCTTTTTGTTTAAACGCCCACCTCTACCTACAATCAAGACGAATCTAACGACACCTCATATGTCAAAATTCATCAAGCCGTTTAGGCTGACAGCGTGAAAAAGAAACGGACGCACATACACTTGAAAAACATAACCCTCCCGCAGTCGGGTAAAAAGACAGACTATACACAGAAAGCACTTGGACATCGCACCGTAAAGTCCGCAGTTGATTTTTTTTAACCATCGAGTATATAACCAGAAATAGAAACGAAATGTCATTTGGTTTGTTTGAAAACTATTCTGCCAAATCATTACGGTGACAACTGCGCTCCGATTGGCTAGCCCGAATTGGAAACAAATGACGGGTATCGTCAATTGTTTCAGTTCAAAACGACCAGTTTAACTTGAGCTTTGATATAATAGACGAAAATTTTAAAATTACATATTTAATAACCGATGAAATGTGATTCCGTATGTTTTGTATTTTACGTTTTGTTGTTTTTCCCACACCACCGAATGGATGGATCCCCCCATAGCTGGAGATATTATCGTTATTACAATAAATACAGAATATTTTTGGAATATACGGAGACTTACATACGGGTCAGTTGTGTCCACGTTACAATTTCAGCTTTCTAATTTGTGATTTAAGCACAAACGACAGTTGATATTAAAAAGTGATATAAGGCCCATTTGCCTGATGAGATGCCAGGGATGGATGGCCCTTATTTCGTCTCTATTTCTGGTTATATACTCGATGACAAAATTGGACACTAAAGTAAACGATGTAAAGTTCAATGTAAAAAAATGCCAGATTGTACATTATTACCTTCAACATTGATAGGAAAATTGGTAGTCCCCTGGTCTTGCACGACACCCTGCATGTCCACCTTGACGAGGGACGAGGCGGTGACCTCATGAGGCAACAGGCCTCGAGGTGTTGTCAGGACTTGCTCTACGGCTGTGTTGAGACGAGCCGTTATTTGACCGTTTGCACCGGCTGTAAGAAAGAGATTGTTTTACGTTAAACATATCGGGTAGGCAGAGACCACAGCCTTCCGTTTGCTACGATCTTTCGCCTGATCAACACACATCAATGTTTTCACACCCTTTCACACACGTTCGTCGGTTAAGACTTCTCTTAGTCTGAACCTTTTTCAAGCTTAATTTGTTTTTGATACGAAGCGACAAGGCCAATATGTTATGCGCCTGGTGCTAAGCGATGCGCCTGGTGCTAAGCGACACGCCTGTCCATAACAGTTGGTAAGAGCCGACCAAGGTGATAAACCGTGGTACGTGGTAAATGAAAACGCAGGCTGTGGCTTGTATGTTACGTGTTGAGATGATGGATAAGATTTAAGCACGTTTTATAATTTTACTTAGAGCAAGGCGCCCTGTATACATTATAATCGATTATTCGACTAGCGCCATCTAGCGAGCGGCCACAGAACTGGGTGGTTTGTCTAGTTTACTAGGCAACGGACATAAGACACCGCGATACAGTGCCGCGGCGTAGTGTTAGCAGACGCTCATTAGGTGGCGATGCTAACACAACGTAAATTTGTCACGACCTAATTATTAGTAGTACAGCTTCTTGGTTTTAGGGTGATGGTCGTAGTGGGAGAGCCTGTCATCTCTTTAAGATTTAAAGCTCTGAGTGACACTGCAACTGTTATAGACAGGTGTGTCGCTTTCCACCAGGCGAACGAATTCTTTGTTCCGTCACTTTGCATCATGAAAAAAAAGGGCGGTAGTAGTGGGAATTATAGTCGCGGTACCTGGACTGATTGCTCCTCGCCAGTACCGGGGTTTTTCGTTATTAATTTTCACAAAGATGGCGTATACTAATGTATAAACGTATTTGTGACTTTGTCAAGATGACTGTCAAGATATTTACTTACTCTGAGTCCAGCCGAAGAGGTCCACCAGCCGATAGACGGCAGCGAGCTTGCATCTGAGGATCTTCTCTCCCTTCTCGTACCCCACACCTTCGATACCACGAATATCGTTTATTGGAAGCACGCACGTTGGGCCCTGGAATGCAATAACATAACAACTAATAATGCGCTCACTCATCCTCGCACTAGGGAAAGCCTGTATCGCGGGTGCCATGGACACACGCGCAGACAACCACAAATTACACCAAAACTCACGAGACAAATAAATGTAGACCTTACAAATATTATAAAAATTAAACTTTTAATAATTACATTTCAACACTTTTTTCTTTCTTTTTCGTATTTCCTTTTATATGTATAAAAGGAAATACAAAAAAGAAAGAAAAAACAATTTTTAAAGTTGGTACAAATGTTTGTACCAACATAAATTTTGCTATTTATAATTAAATGACAGGAACTTTCCTAAAAATGCCGTGCGTACACGCTCCTGGTTGGCATTCTTGTTCAAATCTAGTTTTAAACAAATTAATGTATTAATCTATTTTGGATGTCGACTGTTGAGTTCGTCTAATAAATAAAAAAGAATCTCCCGACCCGGGAATCTAACCCGGTAACTCTGCGTGACAGACCAGCATCGTAACCATTCGGGCACGGAAACAGTTGAATAATAATAGTAGCCTATCTAAAGTCCCACTGCTGAGCACAGGCCTAGATTTTAGCTATTGAGGTGTGGGAAGCCCCGCCTCTCGCATCTCGCAATAATATACCATTTATACCATTATTTATTATCCAATGGTATAACTGGGATAAACTAGTGCCACCTATACCATTACAGGTATAAATGGGACAGGTAAGTGCCTTTTACATAATTATTTATTATCCAATAGTATAACTGGGATAAACTAGTGCCACTTGAAATATTACAGGTACAAATGGGACAGATAAGTACCATTTAGACCATTATTTATTATCTAACGGAATAACCGGGATAAACTAGTGGCAATTATACCATTACAGGTATAAATGGGATAACCTAGTACTACTTAAGCCATTAATGGTATAATTCAATAGTACGTCTGGTCCGAAGGCGAAAGTTTGTCTCAGATTCGACCTTGACAAGCACTCGATGGCGACAGACGGGGCAACGGGCAACACGGCGTGTCGTTAAACCGCTGGGCATTTTTCAAGTTTTGGGCTTCAGTTGCAAACAAAAAATTTTACAGGTTCTCTGTAGTACTTAAAATCAAAATGAGTGCTGTTATTCCAGCACCTATTTATTTATACTTTTTATACACGTTTGTTGTAACATGTATTGAATACGCCTATTTTTAAAACAGCAACTTTTTAAGTATTTAAACATACACAACACACACACATGTCTGTTACCATTTAATATGTACATAGGTCAATGGTATATATGTATATACAATTATTTTATTGTTATATTCAAGTACCTGAGTATGTTTGCGTGTTACGTGACCTGACTTAGGGCCCTAACTGAAAATCAGTACTGGGAACGCATTGCGTTTTCCAGCAAATACTGAGTTTGTTACCCTTTTGTCGTCTTTTGTTGTTACCGCGACTGACAACACACGAAGTATCTCAATTTAGTGTTCTTTTTATTATTTGTGTGAATAGTTCGTGTTTTAATTTAATCAAATTTTTCTATATACATTTCTCTTTTGTGTTTGTTTGTATTTTTGTTTCGTAATTATTTATTTATGTTTTACGGTGAATGTTTCATGTTTTCTTTTAGTCCTGTTTTGTTTCGTTTTCTTTTGTTTTTTGTCTTTTGTGGTGTCATTGTGGTAAACAAATAAACGTATTTTCTTTCTTCTTTTTTTTCTTTCAAATATCTCCATATAAAAATTATGTGCAAAGTTAGATATTTAATTTTGAAATAATTCGTTTTATACTTTTATTTTAAATTGTTTTCAGGATTTTATATGATCGGCAAAAGTACACCCTATCGTGTAATTAATTAGCACATTCTCTAGACAATATCCTTAGGTGCACCGTATATTTTTTTTGTAAGATCGTTATATAATAGTAAATATTTAAATCATTTGATGTAGCAAAACTACTTTTTCCCGCCTCTCCTTCGCTGACTCGCCTTAATGGAAAAAAGGAAACATCAGACGTACTCTTAAACTCCCGGTGTGAAGACGTCCACCGACCATCTCCTTGATGCGTTGCAGCAGAGGCGCGTCGCTGCCTTCGTGGATCTGCTGGTCCAGAACTCGCTCCAACTCCTCGCGGAACAGCTTGGACGACATGAGAGCTTCCACGCGCTTGCGACGCTCCATTTCGCGGACATCCTGAAAAATTTTCAATTTTTTCTTTTATAGTCTGTTTTTTGTTTGTTTTAAAGACGGAAATTTCTCGTAAAAAGATCATGGCCACCAAAGTATAAAAACAACCCATAAAAAAAAAATACCCATGGCGTACAAAAATGACACATCGATGCCTTAATTTCTCAAACTCGTATCTTATAAGGAGTGACTATTCACGAGATGAAAAACTTTTTATTTATTTTAAATTTCTTATCAAGGGTGTTCATTTGAATGCATTACTTAAAGTATAAGTAAAAGCCAGTGTGTGAGTATGAAGGAAATGTGCTGTGAAATCAACCTGCAAAATTTGTATATACAATCCATTCTTTCAAATTCAATAACTTTGTGCTTTAAGGTACGAGTTTGAGAAAGTAAGGCTTAAGGTTATAGAACAACATGTGTACTTCACAACTGCACGTTCTATTTGCTGTGGATACTGGGAAGATGCAAGCGAAAAGAGAATTATTATTTTGAATAATAAAATTGTTCTCTACAGATTTATTGCTGTGATGTTTTCTCTGCATTATAATCTTTTTAAACGACTTGAAGAAAAGGAAGAGGTTATTTAGTTAGAGGCCGAGCGTTACGAAACGCGGGAACACTAAAATCCGTTACCCACCGTACCGAACTTGCAACTAGAAATCCGCGGGTAATAGGTCCCCGATTCTACGAACATCTACCCACAGACCTGAAAAGTGTTAGAAACGATGAAACGTTTTGTACCCGACTAAAAATCCTTTTATTGGTATATTGAATTGTACAGTGTCGATGAGTTTCTTTCGAAACAATTTTAATTTAATTTTATTCGACAAGCAGTAGTTATACTACTTTATTTTATATTCATTATTATTATTATAATTTTATTGCTGACGATCATAGTTATCCCTTGACATTGTATTTCCAATTGTAATATTGTGACATTGATAACATGAAATAAACGATTCTATTCTATTCTATTCTATTAAGCGACTTCAAAAAAATAGGAGCTTATTAACCGACTTTAAAAAAAAAAAGGAGGACGTTCACAATTGAACTGTATGTTTTTTTTTGTATGTATGTTACGCACTCCGATTTCTATGATTCATTTTTTATTTGAAAGAGGGTACTTCAGATTTAAATTTGAAGAAAATATTCCACCTCCAAGGGTGGAAAACTAAGGGATGAATCCGGTTTCGCGGACTTCCCGGTTACCGATTTTAAAGTTGTCATTCCACGCACTTTTGAGGTCAGTTTTTTTAGTAATCTGTACCGAGATTATTTATAAAATCACATGGCGGAATGAACGAATCATCTAGTGATAAGCGACACGCGTCCATTAGAGATGCGCGACTCTGAACGTTACTGTTACTAATCATTCGTATAGGCAAATCATTCGCCCAAGTCGAATCCAAGCACAATCATTCGAATGCCATTCGGTAGGGTACACGAAGCAAGCAAAATTAGACAGTACTGCGATGACATTACAATTTAAATTCAATGTTTTAGCTTTTTCATATTCCTTTACGTGTCACTACGTTTAAATAGGTTGACTTGGGACATTTCTTTCGTGGTTTTTGTATTAGACCCGTCGTCCATTTATTTGTAAGTCAATGACTATACGTGTTCTATTTAGTACAGTTAATAAAAAAAAAATCATTAGTATAAGTAAAATACCTGTCGAATACAGCGGTTTTCTTGTAAAATTTCGTGGTAAGTTTGTATTTTTTTCTAACGTGAAAATTATTAGGAATTTAGTTTTCACACTGTATACGAATCCTCAATTTTACCATATATTTTTTCCAAAGTTATTGATTCAATAATTTCGCTCGAAATCAACCAAAGCCATTTGAGGTTGCATCGACTCTTAGGATCGTATTCCAGAACTGTACTCAATGCTCAAGTCAGGATTTGAGCTGACTTGAGTATGATTTCAAGCACTGGAAATACTACCCTAATGGCAAGGACTTGAGTATGATTTTCAGTACTCACTGCAATACTCAAGTCCTGACTTGAGGTATTGAGTAGAGTTCTGGAATACGACCCTTAAATAGCAAAGATCTGAGGGGCATTGCCACTGCACACGTCACACTAAGACATAAATTTGAATTTAATAGATAAATGTTACTATGACATCAACGAATTCTTAAACGACACTTACTACAACTTAATCTTTTTCACCTGACAAAGCCGCTTGACTTTTGTAATTTAATTGTTGGAATGAATTAATTTGTTTTTAATTTGAATTAATTTGTTATATTCACTATTTTGGACATTAATAATTAATCTGACATTCTTGAATACTAATGATATTATAAACATATGTAATACTTTAAATATATTTTCTTTAATCAAATTTTTATTGAATTGATATTCAATTATTTTTTGTGAAATTACTCCACTAGTTTGTTATAATTATTAAAACAAAGATCGAACACTTAGAAAAAATTCCTTCGATCCGGTCGGATTCGAACCGACGTCTTCTTGCATACCGTGGCAGACGCTATACCAACTAAGCCACGGAACGAACCAACGGACCTCACGAATTTTTCTATGTGCTTGCGTCGTGTCTTTGTACTTGGTCTTTCAACGACTTTTTAGTCGTAGCGCCATCTATGAGAAATCTATTACAGATTTATCACCCAGTTAGTACCTTTACAGCTACCTTATATATATATTTTTTTTTCATTTTTATATTGTCAATACCGGTAATTATGTTTGTATTATAATATTCATAAACCAAATATACTTTCAATATGTTTGTATGCCAAATGTTTGGCCGGACACAGTGAAACTATACCTACTCATTTTTGTACATGTCAACTTGCATATCTAACCTGTGACAAGTTCCATGTGGCTGTAATTATGTGAGCATTACTGACGCCTGCGTATAACAATCATTATATACTTACAGCATCAATGTCTGCCGGCCGTTGTTTGAGCCGCTCGTCCTCTTCGGAGAGGCCGGTGCCGTTAGGCAGGTTCTCTATATCCGTATCTGCCATGTCTGGGTCTGTTGACAAAGAATAGGAATTTGTTAAAAAAAAAATATATAGTGTACAATTTACGTATTTTAAGATAATACAAGGTGCCAGTTAAGTAACAGAAGCGTGTTGGCAAGTTGATAACGGCCGATAAAAACCAACTTTAGGATTATTTTTTATGATACAAAGCAACGGGACGAACACAGCCGTCCACTAACTGACAAATGGTCAAATATCCGTTTTAAATAGCAAAAGATAGATCACAAAATTCTCCATCAAAAACAGTTTTAATTAGTCAACGTGTTCCACTTATCGGAACTTAACCTAACTACGACGAAATATCATTAGACAATTTCAATATTCTAAGGGTCGTATTCCAGAACTGTACTCAATGCTCAAGTCAGGATTTGAGCAGACTTGAGTATGATTTCAAGCACTGGAAATACGACCCTAATGGCAAGGACTTGAGTATGATTTCTAGTGCTTTGAATCATACTCAAGTCCTGACTTGAGCATAGAGTAGAGTTCTAGAATACGACCCTAAAACTGCGTTAAGGTTTTTATGATATCTAAAAAAATATTTTGTCATTTACCCGCGTTTTAGTTAGTGGACGACAGAACAAGTCGTGCGCCTGGTGGTAACCGACACGCCTGTCCCATAGCAGTTGTAGTGGCATTCAGAATTTTAAATTGCAAAGATCTGAAGGGCACTACCACTGCGCCCGTCACCCTGAGACATAAGTTGACAAGTTTCATGCGCCTATAATTTCACCAGCACCCTTACCATTCAAAACCGGAACGCAGTGATTCTTATATTACTGCTTGGGTGGCAGAAATAAGGCGGCAGTGTTTCCCTGGACGAATTTTTTCACAAGGACCTCACGCGTCATGTTTCTTGATATTATAAAGAAAAAAAGGATGCAATACGATCTCAAACTGGGGAATTTACTGTACTACGAGTACCGTAACGTTAACGAAATTCAGTCCGTGGCAAACTAGGGGATGAATCCGGTTTCTATGTCCGGTGCTGGTGAAATTACTTAATATTAGTATTAATTATGTCTCAGAGTGACGGGCGCACTGACAGTGCCCCTTCAGGTCTGCGATTTGAAACTCTGAATGGCACTGCAACTGTAATGGACAGGCGTGCGTATCATCAGGCGCACGACTTGTAATTGCAATTGCGACGACGGTAATTGCAAGACGCGAGAGGCGGCCTCTCACACCTCACCTCCAAAAATCTAGACGCCTCGCCTTAAAAGGAAATAGAGATTCAAATTCTCGTAAAAATTATTTTTACAACGCATCATTTCTTATAAAGTATAATAAAGCAACCTCTTTGGATCAATGTAATATGATAATTACCTACCGCATTGTTTACGGGAATATAGTTCTTAATTCTAAGACTGATGGTGCATTGAAAAGCTGAAAGTCGAATTGGAAAGTTCAACGGCCTTAATACAGGAGCCTTTATGTTCTGTAATTATAGAGTATGCGATAATTCCGAATAAGAAAGTAGGTGAAATGGGACGATCTGTTTTGATGGGCCAACACAGACTTTACTGTTTTTGACTTACAGTGAATTGGATGACAACACATACATACAATGTCTTTAATTTGTAAGCGGTGTTTACTTAAGTTTTTATTGAATTGAAATTTAATTATTTCTCATGTGAAATTACTCCACTAATTTGTTGTAATTATTAATACAAAGATCGAACACTCAGAAAAAATCTTTCGATCCATATCGTGCCAGACGCTATACCAACTAATCAACGACTTTTTAGCTTAGCGCCATCTATCTAAAAACTAAATACAAAGACACTACAACAAGCAC